CTTGCACAGCTGATTATTAAGTGCATTGCTCTGGGCTATGCCTTGAAAGTTTCTGAAAGCTCATTAAGTTTGGGCTGCTTTTTCTTTCTTTCCCCTTACTATACTGAAGCTGATGAAACTGTTGCTTATACTTATTCAAAGGATTTCACAGAGTATTTCAGTTTCTAGTTTCAGCTATTACATTTCTCCTGGAACTATAGAAAAATGCAAGTGTGGTTTTAGGGATAGGCTAAGTTTCATGCTTGCTGGATGAGCAGCTATGAGAGTGGAAAGGAAATGAACTGAGGTGGTATTTTACCAGTCCTTTCCAGTTTAGAGACTAGTACTATGGAAATAAAAATGTGTTATGGTATGAGTTTTGCTTGGTTGAAACAGAATTTAGATGAGCTAACTATTCTTCAGTGCCACTGACACTCCTTATTCAGGGGTAGAGACAGTCATTTGAAGTTCAAAGATCAGTGGAAATAAAATTATTGGAGAAATCATTATGCTTTACAGAGGTATTTGTTGGTTGAAGATATCAATTCTTATCTGGGGTGTCACAGAATTTTGTGGAACTTGATTTTATTTTACCATGAAAATAAATTCAACATGAAAATGCATTATAGAATATCTAAGTTTGATTTATTTTTCCTTGGACAGACATTTAGATGTTGAAAATCACTTGTTTCATACTTCTAGAATTTCTTCAAGTATGAACAACATGCTTGTGGTCAGTCACAAACAGTTTAATGATAAGGTGCACATGCAAAGGGAATATCTTTTAAAGACTCTAAAATTCAAAATAATATTTTCAGAAAAATGTCACTAAGAGCATAATCACCTCAAAATTCTTGGAGAGATGTAAGAGGGGATTGATATAAAAACAAATTTATAAAATTATTTTCCAACAGACTGATTCAGTTGATTACATTTCAGAAATACCAATTAAATTAAGCCTGCATAAGTTAATTGTAGAAATTTTGAGGGGCTGGTATTGTGATATAGCTAGCAAAGCTCGTCACTTGGAACACTGGAATCCCATGTAGGCACCAGTTTGTGTCCTGGCTAAACCACTTCTCATCCAGCTCCCTCCAAGTGGCCTGGGAAACGCAGTGGAAGATTGTCCAAGTGTTTGGGTCCCTGCCATCCTTATGGGAGACCTGGATAAAGCTCCTGGCTCCTGGCTTTGGCCTGGTCTATGTGGCTGATCTTGTGAGTGACCCAGCAGTTGAAGATTCTCTCTCTCTCTTTCTCTCACTCTAACTTTCAAATTAGATGAATAAATATTTAAAAGAAAAAAATGATGGGGCAATTGATTTGAAAAATATGTTATTTTTTTCACTAATTTCTAACCTTTATTAAAAAGAGTAGTATGAAAGGGAAAATCCATCTAAGGAGGTAAACAGAAGTTTCTTTATACCTCCATAAATATTCTCATCATTTTGAACAAGATTGGTAGACATAAAAGTGAGGAATAGTGCCAAACAGCTGTAGGGTAACAATTTTCTCTTAATATTTTGAGCATTTAATCTTTTATTTGGGAAGGCAATTTTCACATGTAGAAACAGTTGATAACACAATCCATTTACAAAAGAAGTTTGCGCTGAGATAACTGTAAGTGCCAATAGAAGGACATAAAATACAAACCCAGATTCAGGTTAACGATGATGTAGAATATGAGTCAGAGCATATAGTTTGTTAATAATGGCTGTAAAATACTAGGTGACTGTTTGTGCCTCACAAACCTGTAGTTTCTGTTGCTGCTACAGTTTGTAGCTCCTGCTTTAATCAAAATAAAAAACACAATCAAGAAGTGTAGCCCTATTCTGCGTTGAAGTGTTCTTTAGGAAGTGAGGTCTGGAAAGTTCGCTGAATTGACTGGATTCAGAGATGAAGGGAAAACAGTAATTAAAATTATTGTCGTGGAATCTGAAATCTAATGAAGTGTGATTGCTAAGGACGAAATTAGGAGGTAAATATGCAGTGAAATTATATATATATATACATATATATTTATATATATGATTTATTTATTTGAAAGGCAGTGAGAGAGAGAGAGAGAGAGAGAGAGAGAGAATCTTGTATCCTCCAGTTCACCACTCAAATGGCTGCAACAGCCAGGACTGAACAAGGCTGAAACCAGGAGCCAGGAGCTTCTTCAGGGTCTCCCACTACATGCAGTGACCCAAGCACTTGGGTCATCTTCTGCTGTTTTCCCAGGCACATTAGCAGGTAGCTGGATTGGAGGAGCAGCCAGGACTCGAACCATCACCTATAAAGGATGCTGGTGCTGCAGGTTGGGGCTTTAGCCTGCTGAGCCACAATGCTGACCCCAGTAAAATTATATTTAGCCCACAAGAAGTAGAGCAGGACTCTCTTGGACAAGGAAGTTCCTGGAGAGTATGTCAACGCCAGTGCTCTGAAATCTGGGCCACTGACTGTGCATTACAGCCTCTCAAAGCTATGGATTAGACAGTGGGTCCAGAAGGTAGCCTCCTGGGCGCAGTAGTCTCAACAGATGTGGACACCTCCATGTATCTTCATCTTACTGTTCTGTGTTTTTCTGTGAGACATGCTGATAATGTGTCCCTTATCAATTTTTTAACTTAAAATGAGATATCAATTATGTATTTCAAAAGTTAATTCTGAACACAAACTATCTTGTTGTTTTCGCTTTTTTAAACTTTAGAAATTTTTTGTATATGGTGAACAAAGTCATGCATTTCATATCTATAGATCTAGGAGCATAGTGACACTTACCACTCTATCCTCCCTTCTGTGCACTATGTCTTGCTTTAGGAAATACTAGCACAAAGAGATCGGTTTATCCTGCCAGTTTAAGAAAAGTTTTTTGATTGATAATATAATTAGTAGGGCATGGGCAGGGAGAAACTTAGGGTAAAACATGTACCAAGAAACTGACATAAGGTCATCCATCCACTTGTCTGTGAATATGAGTATTCACGCACATTTACTGTGGGCTGGATTTGTGAATAAGATACTATCTCTGTCCTTAAAGAACTCATAGACTTGGCAGGAGAGACAGGATGGCCAATTGTCCATGATGAATTGTCATAACACAAAGAAGTAGGTTTAATGTACAACAGGAAGAAAGAGGAAGCGGTTTTTGAGAAGGTGATGCAGCAATTGTACTTACAGATGATAAATAATCTCTCAACCAATAGCATGTACCAAGCAGTTCAGTTGTAGGATGCAAACAGAAGATAAACAAACAAAAACGGTGATGTAAGTAGTTTAAGAAAATCGGAGAGAGCTTTGTTGAGGTCGTGTAGACTCTAGATGTGAGACTGGGAAAACAGCCAGGGAGATCGCCTTCATAAAGGAGTTCTAACTTCTGTGAAAGACTAAAGTCATTGAACAAGTTTCAGCAGGATGGTAACTAATCAATGACTCTCACAGTGCCTTCTTATCTCAGACTGCCTTCTATCATTTCTTTTAATCTATTCTTATTTATAATTTTCTTTTCTCTTGCTTTTTATTCTGTGTCTGTCAGTTCCCTTCTGTATCCTTTCAAATCACCTCCATCCTTAATCAATCAGGAAACATTATTGATCAATGTATTTTCTCCAAAGAAGATTCTATGAAAAATATAAAATTTGCACATTAGGACTGACTTCTTAGAATTTTTCTATAATAGGGTTGATAGCTCTTTTGTTATTTCTGAATATTATTCCATAGTTTGGATACACCACCATTTATTTATTTATTAATTTATCTACTACAGGAAATGCTGATTATGAATAAAGCTGCTTTTAACATCTATTTGCAGATTTAGTGGACAGAGGTTTTCAGTTCATATGGGTAGAGGATAAGGTGCAAGGTTGCTGGATCATATGCTAAGAATTTATTCATTTTGTCAACAACTGCCCAAAACGAATGAGAGTCCCTGTTGTTCCATATCCTTGCCAGGATTCTGTGCTGACAGTGTTCTGAAATTTGACCATCTTAATAGGTAAGTGGTTGTATTTACCGTTTTAATTTCATCTTCCTGATGACATATCATGATATCATGTGGAGCGTCTTTCCACAGGCTTTATGCCATCTGTATATTTGCGTATCTTCTTTGCTGAAACGTCTGTTAACATTATTGGTCTTTTTTTATTTACTTGTTTGTAAAACATTTTTTCTTCATCTTCTGTAGTTGTGATCGTGCTAAATACACATTTTGCTTTTCAGAATGAGCATCTTTTTTGTATTTAATAAGTATCTTTTAAAACCCCCACATTACATGATCAAAATATAAAAACAATGGGCAGCTACTGGCAAGGCAAATCTCTTCTCATCTGCAGCAGTGGTTGTCTCATTCCCTCTTTTTCGATTCTGCTCTGTATGTGTTTTCACTGTCTGCATCATTCCCTACCGCGTGCTCTTACGGAGCATCCCCCAGAATCCCCGATGTGAGGTTCTGACTACATCACTTGTTCCATGTCCATAGCCCTTAGAATGCCCAGTCCTGACTGCTTTCAATCCCATTCATGTCTGTAAAGTGTTCATGGCACTCCCGCCACCTTATGCTGCTCTCTAGCTGGGGAAGTGCAGCAAAGGGCACAGGGAAGTCACAACATGAAAACATCAATGGTCTGGGATCAGAAGGAAAGCTTGGTGGTGGCTTTGCAGGTGGGGAATGCATGGTACGCAGTTCAGGTGTGGAACAAGGATTACAGTTGTTTGGTTGTTCAAACTGTATGTAGTTTAGAAAAATCTCATAATTTTCAAGTAAATCTTCTAAGAAAAATATCAATATATGAAGTGAATCTTGGAAATTGATATTTGGCTATATTTTTATCTATCACAATGTCACACAGTAGCAATTTTACAAAAATCAAATTAGTAAATGAACCTAGAGATAAACAATTATTATTTGTCATTTATTTTTATTTTATAGGGTTTAAAATATGTTGTCTATATATTTTTGTAAGCTTTTTCATTAAAAGCACATTCTGAACATTTCTTCATGATATTTTTTCTACATATAAGGTCAAATATTTTTCCCAGCTAAATATTCTTTGAATAAGGTAATTCTCTATTATTTGGATTTAGGTTATTTCTAATACTTTCCTTATTTATTTCACTTTTCTTCCTCAATGGTTTCTATCATCTCTTAGATATTCACCAAACACTTAACACTCCTGTAGGATTCTACCTTGAGAAGACCTTTACTTGTCTTTTATTTATTCAAGTTTGTTCTGTTCACTCCTCAGGATACTTCTTTTTTTTTTTTTTTAGATTTTATTTATTTATTTGAGAGGTAGAATTACAGACAGTGAGAGAGAGACAGAGAAAGGTCTTCCGTCCGTTGGTTCACTCCCCAAATGGCTGCAATGGCCGGAGCTGTGCCGATCCAAAGCCAGGAATCAGGTGCCTCCTCCTGGTCTCCCATCGGGTGCACGGGCCCAAGCACTTGGGCCATCCTCCACTGTACTCCCGGGCCACAGCAGAGAGCTGGCCTGGAAGAGGGGCAGTGGGGACTAGAACTGGCATCCATATGGAATGCTGGCTCCACAGGCAGAGGATTAACCCACTGTGCTACAGCGCCAGCCCCTGAAACCATGTTCATTTTTTAGATCTTAGCACACACATCTTCCAGCACCTAGTTTGTCTTTTTATATAACTTATAATCAGCATAATCCTCTACATATGTAACTAGTTGTTTAATGCCTAGCTTCACAACTAGACTGAAAAATGTACAATGATGAGGTCTATGTTCATTTTGGAATGCGATGCAGTGACTAACATATAGGGGTATTCAGTAAAGTTACTCAATAGATGTTGTTAAATGAACAAATTAATGTATAACGTTTTCAAAGGGATTTTGTAACTGTGGTTAATTTTTTTAATATTAGAATTTGAAGCCTTGTGACATCTACATTGTTTAATATCTCTTGTGCATTACTTTATTTATTGTTGTTCCTTTCAGGTAATACAAAATCAATGAATAAAACAGATTATTCAGCAGTATTTGAATTTGTATTCCTGGGACTTTCTACCTATAGACCAGTGCAGAATTTTCTTCTGGCCTTCTCTGTGGTGTTTTATGTAATTATTGTTCTTGGGAACCTCCTTGTTGTGTTTTCTGTGATGTTCGATGCTCATTTACACTCTCCAATGTACTTCCTTTTGGGAAATCTTTCATTCATTGATATGTGCCTTTCTACTGTTACGGTTCCTAAAATGATTTCTGACCTTTACTCTGGGAAAAATATCATTTCATTTCAGGGTTGCATCCTCCAGATATTTGCCCTTCATGTCCTGGGTGGATCGGAGATGGTGCTGCTCTTAGCCATGGCCTTGGACAGATATGTGGCCATATGCAAGCCCCTCCATTACCTGACCATCATGAACCCACAGATGTGCGTTTTGCTTCTGTCTGGTGCTTGGGTTATTGGTCTCCTTCACTCATTGGCTCAGTTAGCTTTTGTTGTTCATTTGCCTTTTTGTGGTCCTAATGAGATAGATAGTTTTTACTGTGATCTTCCTTGGTTCATCAAACTTGCCTGCACAGACACTTACAGGATGGAATTCATAGTGACTGCCAACAGTGGGTTTATTTCCACAGGCACCTTCTTCTTCTTGATGATCTCCTACATCTTCATCCTGGTCACTGTATGGAAACGCTCCTCGGGTGGTTTGTCCAAGGCCCTCTCCACCCTTTCAGCTCACATCACGGTGGTGGTTTTGTTTTTTGGGCCATGCATCTTTGTCTATATGTGGCCATTTCCCACAGTATCAGTGGATAAATTTCTTGCCATTTTGGATTTCATGATTACACCCATTCTGAATCCTGCCATATACACCTTGAGGAACAAAGACATGAAGATGGCAATGAGGAGACTGGGTAATCAAGTCCCAGGTTTGAGGAAGATCTCTTAAGTAATACATGAGAGTACAAGTCATTTAGTATATTTTCTACCACACAAATGACACAAATACTTTAATGAATATATGCAGTTTAAGAATTACATGACAGATACTCAAAGTGTTTGATACATACACCATCTTATGGACCAAGTATGTCACTTGTATCCATAAAAGCTCAGAAAATCTTGGATACTTATGTCCAAAATCAGTAATAATTCGTTTGATTACTTATTTAATTTCCTTTTATAGATTATTTATGTACTTTATAGTTTTAAATATAATAGGACAATTGTGTGTGTGTCTTTGTTTTTAGCAGTCCCCACATGACCTTAAAAGTTTATGAAACACAGAGCAGAGCACTGTATTCACAAGACTATAACCAATGTCAATGGTTTCTTTTATTTACAGATTGAAAGACTTCTCACAAGAGCTCTCACTGCATTTATTTCTTTTTTATGTATAAAATCTTTTTATTTATATTATAATAAAGAATTCCTTTCTTTGAAATAAAATTGCTACATGTTTGATGTTGAGCTAGTTATTTTCATTTATGACTTGTTTTGGAAAATACTTTGAACTACCATGAAATATATACTTTCTAGTTTTAAACATTTTTCTGAATTAACTTTTTTATACAATATTCAGAATTACTTATGAAGTTACATTGAATTATGACAACCCTATTTGTACACTATTTGGCAAATGAGGTATAGTCCAACTATACATGTATATAAAGGCGATGAAAAAGCATATATTGCTCAAAGTGTGGCTTCACATTTTAGATTACCTGTACTCAAAATAATAATTTACTGGTACTTTACTCAAACTATATATAAACTATCATCTTCTCTAAACTGCCCAGAATAACTGAGTTCTGATTTCCTTCCCAGTGTACTTCTTTGCTTAATGCAAAATGAAAAAATGCAGTCCAAACTAAAATATGGCATAGAGTAAGTCTAATGTTAACCATACCTAGAAAATTCATAGCCTATACTGTATTAGAGGTATACATCTAATTAGAGGTAGGTATACATCTCTAATTTGTACCTCTAACAAACTCAAAATGTTAAAAAAATCTACCATTTAGTGTACATATTTTGGTAAATAAATAAAAATACATATCCACGAATATATGAGGGTACTTTATCAAGTTTGAGGAAAAAATAAAATGAAAAATAAGCTCATTTTGGTGCAAAAATTTGAAATCCATATGTAAATTTTCATAATGCACATTTTCCATAAAAATTTAAAGATTCCATATGTTTATATATATAATCTTTTCAAAATATAACTCATATATTTCAGGCATGGAAAGCCAAGACACTCTGGGAAAAAAAAAAATAGGACCTAAATGAAAGATCTCTGTGAGTGAGATCCCAGTGGAAAGAACAGGTCTTCAAAGAAGGAGGTACCTTTCTCTGAAGGGAGGAGAGAACTCCCACTTTGACTATGACCTTGTCTAAATAAGATAAGAGTCGGAGAACTCAAAAGGCTTCCATAGCCTTGGAAACTCATGACTGAAGCATAGGGAGATTACTGATGCCATAAACAAGAGTGTCAATTTGTAAAGTCAACAACAGGAGTCACTGTGCACTTACTCCTCATGTAGGATCTCTGTCCTTAATGTGCTGTACATTGAGATTTAATGCTATAACGAGTACTCAAACAGTATTTTCCACTTTGTGTTTCTATGTGGGTGCAAACTGTTGAAATCTTTACTGAATGTATACTAAACTGATCTTCTGTATATATAGAAAATTGAAAATGAATCTTGATATGAATGGAAGGGGAGAGAGAGCGGGAAAGGGGAGGGTTGTGGGTGGGAGGGAAGTCATGGGGGGGGGAGCCAATGTAATCCATAAGCTGTACTTTGGAAATCTATTTAAAAAAATATAACTTATATACCATAAAATTCATTTACTGCAATATTCTTCAATGCCTTCAACTCTATATTTCAAAAAATATTCCAATTTATTACACTGATACAGTAATTTTGATTGTATGCAATAATGAGCAAAGAGAAAATTTTGTATGCTTTAGACATATCTGAACCAGATAATAGGAGATTAACCACCTTATTAACATTTCTTGAGATCCAGTGATAACCACCCTATTTGGGCTGTCATAGATAAGAAATGACTAAATTTGGAATCAGGTATTATGTGACCCATACTCATTATGGCATGGATACCATCTTATTGCTCAGTCTATAAAATTGAAATGTGAAAATATATTTAATTGATGAAGCTTGGTAGGTCCTGTGGCACTAAGCAGTTGCATTAGCTTATGACTCCACCCCTTCAATATCTGCTCTTGCTGGATTTACTTCTCAGTGCATACCTATTACTACACAGAGTTCCTTGTAACAATAGATTGGAAATAAAAACTTAAATATATGGATGGTTTTACATGATACATTGGCAGTGACTAAAAGTAAATATCTTCAACTTCATGTGGTCTCAATTTAGTGAAGTCTTATGTTCAAGGATTAGTAAGGTTAGTACCATGATTGTGGTCCTAAAGGATAATGACAAAGAGAAATTCTTCACCTTGGAAGACAATGAGCCAGTATTTCATTTTGCTATTACCAGCGAGCATGGATCTACATTTGCTCCTGAATAATTAATTGTGATTTGTTTGGAGGGTTAGGGCTTAAAGTGAACAGAATGAGCAGATAGTGACAAAGGTGACTGCATAGATTGCTGGTGATAGATTGCTCAGAATGTGCACAGACTTTGTTCCTTTTTCTTGTTTTTTTAAGATTTATTTTATTTATTTGAAAGACAGAGTTACAGAGAGAGGTACAGCCAGATAGAGAGAGAGGTCTTCCATCTGCTGGTTCATTTCCCCAAATGGCTGCTAAGGCCAGAGCTGAGCTGAGCTGATCCGAAGCCAGGAGCCAGGACCCTTTTTCAGATCTCCCATGCGGGTGCAGGGGTCCAAAGACTTGGGCCATCTTCTACTGCTTTCCAGGCCATCGCAGAGAGCTGGATCACCTGTCAGTCTCTTGAGATATTCATCCCCTGGATTTGGGAATGAAGATGAGGGAGCAGAAGAAGGTCTTCTCACTAATATACTTAATTACCTGCTCAGAAATTTTTTCCCTTTGGCCAGTGCTGTGGTGCAGCAGATTAAGCCACTGTCTGTAGTGCCCATATTAGCCCTGGTTCTAATCCATTATGCTCTGCTTCTGAAACAGCTCCCTGCTAATGCACCTGGGAAAGCAGCAGAAGATGGTGCAAGTCTCTGGTTCTCTCCATCCACATTGGAGACTTGGAAGAAGCTCCTGGCTCCTGGCTTCAGCCTGGCCCAACTCTGGTCATTGTAGCCACTTGGGGATTGAACAAGCAGATGGAAAACCTCTCTCTCTCTCTTACTCTTTAAAATAAATAAATAAATAAATAAATGTCTTAAAAATTTATTTCTTCCCATCCTTACAATGTTGAGGTCTGCTTGCTTTGAAGGTCTTGGTTCTCAGGGAAAGAATTCTTCCATAGAGTAGGAAAATTATTTACACTAAATTGAAAATTAACACTGGCTATGGTGATTGGATTTGGGGAGTGAACCAGCAGATGGAATACCCCTCTTTCTTTTTTTTTATAATTTAATTTTTTGATTTAATTTTAAGAATATTTTGTATGACATCTACAATGTACAGATTCAACGTATTTTCCCCCAAAGATTGGCTGTTTATTTCAACACTATTCATTAAATAATTTTTTTACAATGATTTACTTTCAGTTTATTTTATGCTCATAAGATTAATCCTACACAAAGTAAAGAATTGAACAAATAATAGGAAGGAAAAAACACTGTTCATCAACAGTAGAGACAAAAGCTGTAAATCTCAGTGTCAATTTTGCTCATATACATTACTTTTTTGTACTCTACTAATTATTACCGATCAGGGAAACATCTGGTATCTGTCTTGTTGGGACTGGCTTATTTCACTAAGTATAATGGTTTCCAGTTGTGTCCATTTTGTTAAAGACAGGATTTTGTTCCTTTGTATGCCTGAGTAGTATTCCATACTATATAAATTCTTCAATTTTTCCAGACATCAGTTGATGGACATCTGAGTTAATACTATATCTTAGATATTGTGAATTGAGCTGCAATAAACATAGGGTACAGTAACTCTTTCATATGCTGATTTCATTTTGTTTGGGTAAGTTCCCAAGAGTGGTATTGCTGGATCATGTGGTAGCTCTATTTTCTGAGGTATCTCCATACTGTTTTCTATAATCGATGTACTAGTTTACATTCCCACCAATAGTGGTCTAGGATACCTCTTTCCATTCATCCAACATTTCTTTGTTGATTTCTGTATGAGAACCATTCTAACTGGAATGAGGTGAAACTGCCTTGTGGTTTTAATTTGCATTTCTAGATGGTTAGTGATCCTGAGCATTTTTTCATGTGTCTGTTGGCAATTTAAATTTCCTCTTTTGAAAAATGCCTGTTCAAGTCCTTTGCCCATTTCTTAATTGGATTGTTTTGAGTTTCTTGAGCTCTTCACAAATTCTGGATATTAATCCTGTATAAGTTGCATAGTTTGCAAATATTTTCTCCCATTTTGTCAGTTGCCTCATCACTTTGAGTATTTCCTTTGCAGTGCAGAAACTTCTCAGTTTGATGTAATCCCATTTGTCTATTTTAGCTTTAATTGCCTGTGTTTCTGGGGTCTTTTCAAAGATATCTTTGCCTATACCAATATCTTGCAGGGTTTCCCCAATGTTCTCTGATAGGAATTTGATGGTATCAAGTTGTAGATTTAGATCCTTGATCCATTTTGAGTTGGTTTTTGTACAAAGTATAAAGTAGGGGTCTTTTTTCATACTTCTGCATGAGGAGATCCAATTTTCCCAGCATCATTTGTTGAAAAGATTGTTATTCCTTGAGGAAAAGATTTTAGCTCCTTTTTCAAAGATTAAGAGGATATAGATGTGTGGTTTGGTTTTCTGGAGTTTCTACTCTATTCCATTGGTCTACAAGCCTATTTTTATGCCAGTACCATGCTGTTTGATTATAACTGCCTTGTAGTATGTCTTGAAATATGATACTGTGATGCCTCTGGCTTTGTATTTTTTTGTTTAAGGTTACTTTTAGCTATTTAAGTTTTTTGTGTTTCCATAGACATTTTAGCACTTTTTTCTGGACCTGAGAAGAGTGTTGATACCAGCTAATCAAATACCCCAACACATCAGAAAGAGTATTCACCTGGACCAAGTGGAATTTATCAATTTATATCCCTGCATACCAGGGATAAATTAGCAAATCACATTAGCAAATCAACGTGACACATCACATTAACAAACTGAAAAACCAAAACCATATTAACTCAATTGATACGGAAAAAGTATTTGATAAAACACAACATTGTTTCTTGATTAAAAAAAAAAAACCTTGAGAAAATTTGGCAAAGATGGAACATTCCTCAACACAATCAAGGCAATTTATAATAAACCCATGGCCAGCATCCTATTGAATGGGATCCTCTTTTCATTTTATGATATATATTGCTGATTCTTAGTAATGAATTTCAATTCACTTAATTTATCATTCTGGGAAAAAGAAAAGAAATATTTTAAAAATCACTAGAAATTTTTTACATACAAGAGTAGTTTATACATACTTTGAAAATGAATGTTATAGGCATTTGAGTGAAAAATTTAACATTTGTTGATTTACTGATATATTTTCATAAGTATCCATTTTATAATTAATCATTGTACTATGTATTTTGGCTTTGAAAAAATTATCAGTAAGGCATGGTCCCCGCTTTGGGGACAGTATATTATAGGATTTTTATAAAATTATTAATAAGTTGTGAATATCATTCTTTGACAATGATCTAATTAAGAAAATGTCATTAGGCTTTCTTTATATATTTTAATTCTTATAAAGTCAATAAAAACAAGCAGGGTATAACCCCCACTGTTATTCCTTATATACTTTGCCAAATGTATATCATCCACTCTTGGCTTTTCCCCTGATTTTTCCCACTAGTATTTGAGCAGGAATTTAAGTTAAGGAAAAAGTGATAATGTTTTGCCAAAGGTAAGTGACATTTAGATGAGAGGTATCAATGTTACATAAACACTTTTTGCCAATGTGGTTAAAAGAAATTAGGAAAAATTTCATTAAGATGCTGCTCATCAGAATGTACATATAACATTGCAGTATTCTTTTAATGTTATTAAAGACACAGAAAATAATTTTGATAAGACTTCCACAAATAGATATCATTAATATTTGGATTTTAGGGAAACACTTCATAATGTTTTTCTGTTTGATTAGGAAATGTTGAAATTCACTGAATTATGCTAACCTCTACTCTTGTATATAAAGCTAGGAGTAAAAGGTACACAAAAACACCCTGAAGCCTCAACTATTTTATAAAAACAGGATGTTGACAATTTGAATTTTTCCTATTGAAGCTTTTAGGTGTTAACTGTTTGCTCTGGAATCCATGTAATAGTTTCTGAATCTATCCATGGCACTTTTCATCTCTTTATTTCTCAGGGTATAGATGGCTGGATTTAGGAGAGGTGTAATAACAGAGTAAAACACAGCAAGAAACTTGTCCACCCAGGTGACGCTGAGTGGCCACACATAGATGAAGATGCACGGCCCAAAGAAGAGCACCACCACTGTGATGTGGGCAGTGCAGGTAGAGAGGGCCTTCGATGCTCCAGTTTTTGAGCTTTTGCAGACAGTGAGAAGAATATATGTGTAGGATATCAGCAGTAGAATAAAGCAGGTCATAGCCAGAACCCCACTGTCAGCATTCATTAATATTTCCAAGTTAGAGGACTCCATGCAGGCCAGCCTGACCACCAGCGGTATGTCACAGAAGAAGCTGTCTATCTCCCTGGGGCCACAGAAAGGCAGCTGCACAATCACAGCCATCTGACTCACAGCATGAACAAAGCCAATGGTCCAGGAAGTCACCACCAGCCCGTTACACATTTTCAGGCTCATAATAGAGGAGTAGTGGAGTGGCTTGCAGATGGCCACATAGCGATCATAGGCCATTACCACAAGTAGCACCATCTCACCCCCTCCTACAAAATGAACAAATAGGATCTGGCACATGCAGCCTCCAAAGGAAATGGTATTGTTCTCTCTGAGGAAGTCTGTGATCATCTTAGGAGTGGTGACTGAGGAAAGCCACATGTCCACAAAGGACAGATTGGCCAACAAGAAGTACATGGGGGAATGGAGATGTGAGTCAGTGATGATTAAGACCACGATGAAAATATTTCCAGATACAATGATCAGATAAAGCATCAAAAATATCATGAAGAGTAAGACCTCAATATTCCATGAATGGCAAAGTCCCAGAAGCACAAATTCTGACACAACAGACTGATTTCTTGTATCCATTTTGTCAATGTGTTCTCGTGTTCTCTAAAATAACCTAGAGATGAAAATAGATTATTAGTGGGATAGAACAGAGCTTTAATTTTTTTTTGAATTTTGCACTGAAAGTTACATCCATATCTGAGGGTAAAAGGAATACATGCGAAGAGATGCTGGCGCCGCCATGGCTCAACAGGCTAATCCTCTGCCTAGTGGTGCCGGCACACAAGGTTCTAGTCCCAGTGGGGGCACTGGATTCTGTCCCGGTTGCCCTCTTCCAGGCCAGCTCTCTGCTGTGGCCCGGGAAGGCAGTGGAGGATGGCCCAAGTGCTTGGGCCCTGAACCCCATGGGAGACCAGGAGAAGCACCTGGCTCCTGCCTTCGGATTGGCGTGATGCGCCAGCTGCAGTGCGCCAGCCGCAGTGGCCATTGGAGGGTGAACCAACGGCAAAAAAAGGAAGACCTTTTTCTCTGTCTCTCTCACTGTCTAACTGCCTGTCAAAAAAAAAAAAAAAAAAAAAAAAAAAAGAAAGAAAGAAAGAAAAAGAAATGCATGCGAAGAGAAATAACATACAGCACTATGTGAGGAAAAATATAGTGTTATGTAAAGAGAAATAATATGTAGTGTTATGACCCCAAAGAGATGTTAATTGCTTAAGGTCAGTTTTTCAAGAAATAGAGCCAGAGGTAGAAGTGTTCCGAAAAGGATTAATCTGGAGTTTCTCTTTCCGGAGAGGGGCGTGAGGAAAGCAGAACAGCAAGGTGAACAGTTGAAAAAAAGATCACAAATTTGCCAGGAAACTAGCTTCAGTCCAGTAGTCCAGTAAAAAGAATGTAGGTAGGGTGCTACCAACAACATAACACTAAATAACAAAAATTTAGTTAAGAAGATAATAGCAAAGTGATTTCAAATTCTGGTACAAATGGCATGATGCAATCTTCATTTTCTCTGAACTGTGTTTAAAGATTTCTTCAAGTCTGAGTTGAACCTTTACTAAAGAAATATATCAGAAAACTAATGTTTAGCTTATAATTCTAAAATCAATAATAAAGATAACCAGCAGAGAGCAGTGCACTCACTCTCTCCCCCTCCCTTCCTCCTTTTCTGTTGTTCTACCTTTCAAATAAATAAACACGTCTTTAAAAAGTATCATTGATCATCACTTATTCATGTCCATATATAGTCACAATATTGCTTATATTATTTCCTACGTAAATAGAGAATTTTGTTTATATAGTTTCCCATATAATTGAAAATTTTCTATATAAATTGAGAATGCTTCTCAACTCTATATTGGAAAGGTAATTGATTTCCTCCCCCCTTTATTAATTATGTCTCTGGGTTTTATTTCACTTTTTAAGTTTAAGATCTTTTTTTTTTTTGTTTTTAGAATCTACAGAATGTTTTCTGTAGAAAAGAATACATATGATAAAATTTCAAATTTCAAATAAATGTATCCTTCATAGTAAGAACTTATCTAATCTCTTGCTTTCCAAGAATGTAGCAGCTTTTTCATCCCATATTTTTACTCTTGTCCAGGAGGGTTTATAAAATCGAAGAGGAACTACAAGAGGCAAGAGGACATTTCATTAGGTATCTTGGGAATTCTCACAGTTAACTCAGAATTTTCACAGACTGGAGAAATAATTCTGGGATCGGTAGAACTGAAAAGTTAGCGAAATTTGATAGATGGAATTTCTGTCTTAGGAGATACATCATATAGGAATAGCAATGTAAAAATGTGATCTCACTTACATGAGGAATCTAAACGACAGAACACACAGAAGCAGGGGATGGGTGGGAGAATGGGAAGATGTTGCTCCAAGAGAGCAGTTCCAGTTAGATGGGAAGAATTGGATTTTTTGATCTATGGCACAGCATAGTGATTATGTTAAAAAGTATTAAGCATTTTAAAATTGCTAGGAATGAGAATACAAATGTCTCATCACAAATGAGACATTATGTAATGGAGACATTAAAAATAATAGGAATGAAGGAACTTCAAAAAGTTCATGGAAAAACAGAATTAGAAGGTAGGTTTATTTTCATGCAAAAGTTTTTGAAATTCAGGCATAGATTTTTAGTAATGGGCCATGAACTTTTTGATGTCCTCTCATTCGTCACAACATCAGAGTGCCCCGTTATTATATATAGTTATTATTTATCAATTAAAAAGTAAGCACAGCAGTAACATTTTCTTCCTCCTTTATGCACATCTCTCCATGAAATTATTTCTCTAATAACTGTATAAATATATGAAAGTTTTCATATTTATATTTTTATAAGGAGAATCTTGCCCTGAGAGAATGCAATAGATTTGCTAAGATATGTCCCGGTTGAGGTACAGAGAAACTTCAAGTCCCTCCAAGTAGCTTGTTGACTCTGCTTTCATTTTACTTATGCTATGAATCTTAACCCTATTTCTGGAGTAATATCAGTTTGCATTGATTATCTAACCCATTTTACATCTTTATTATACTGTTTTTCTTAGACTAACGCTCTGAAATGAAAAATGTTTTTTCTCTTACACAGGATGTACTGCATAAACAAGGATAGTTGGAAGTCACTCAAGCAATTAGACAACAAAAAAAATGAGATCTCTCAGAGAAGACCTGAGAGTAGCTTTTGGTTAGTGCATATGGGTTGTCAGAGAACCACTGTGAAGGAAACCACAGAAACTCCAGTTGGAATAGCATAGGCAAAGAAAGCCTGAATAGCATTTTATGAAAATGTCACATACTCAAAAGGTCCTTCTTAACTCCAATAGTGAGCATATATGAAACATACATATAGAAATATTTTAAAATTATCTTGAAGACAGTTGCAAAGAAAATGAAATAACGTACTAAACACAGCGCTTCTTAAAGCTCAGATGCTCTTTGTCTTCTCTTCTGACGTGTGCTGGATTCAACATTCATTGTTGAGTGGAGGCAGCACCTGTGGAAGTCCTTTCCCTCAGCCTCACACATATTCACCACTTGAAGGGGTCCCTTGGGTGAAATTTTCCTGCTCTACGTTCTGGACAAACAAGAATCATGGAATATTTTTATCATGATTATCTCCTGGAAACTTTGTTAAGAGTGATATAAAATTCGCACTTATTGGAAAACGGAGCAGGGAAACAAGAGAAACCTCACATAAATCAGTCAAGTTAAATATTAGTGAAGTTTTCAAACATTCCTATAAGTGATGAAGAGATGCAGTCTGGAATCTTGAACTGAAACTTGATCTCTTGTTATCTTATTCTTAAAGCTTTTAATTTCAGTAGTGAGCAAAATCATACACTAGTGTGATATAGGACCATCTACCAAACCCCTTATATAAATGTAAAGACCAATACATTTCAAGGTTGTCTAGACAAATGTGGGCAATCTTAGTCAAAAATCTGATTTTTTTCAATATTATCTGTGATTACTTGACATCTAACAGGTACACACTGGATGTCAAATTGTGAAGATATTTTTAGATTTAAAAACAATATTTTGAGCAGTTTTTTTCCTTCTTACCATCTGTTAAATTCTTTACTTAGTGTAGGGTTAATCTTATGAGTGTAAAATACACTGAAAGCAGATCACTATAAAAATTAAAAGAAAGAATAAAAAAGGAAGGAGGAGGGAGGATGAAAATGTCGACTGGAGGGTGGGTAGGGGGGGAAGTATCACTATGCTCCTGAATCTGTATATATGAAACACATGAAATTTGTTCACTTTCAAACATTTAAAAATAAGTAACTGGAAAATAAATTAAAAACAGGACTTTGTTGTTAGTTAAAATACATTCATTTTGACATTTTAAGGCACTTTTATTGTGAAACAATTGACATCCAATATACTGCCCATATTTAAAGTATACAGATGTCTATAGCCATGGAAGGGCAATCACAAGCAGGAGACGCATAAATGCTGCAGCATCCCAAGTTTCCTCATGCTTGTTTTATGATTTATTTATTTATCTGAGAGACAGAGTTACAGAAAGAGAGAAGAGACAGAGAGAGAGAGAGAGAGAGAGAGATCCTACATCTGCTGGCTTACTCCCCAAACGGTTGCAATGCCTGGGGCTGGACCAGTCTGAAGCCAGGAGCTAGGAGCTTCCTCCAGGTCTCTCACATGGGGGCAAGGACCAAGTACCTGGGCCATCCTCTTCTGCACTTCTAGTCACACCAGCAGGGATCTGTATCAGAGGTGGAGCAGTGGGGACTTGAACTGGTGCGACATGGCATGCTAGTGCTGCAGGCTGCTGCCCTAGCCCACTGTGCCATGACACAGGCCCTCCTCATCCTTTGATTGTCCTTTCCAGTTTCTCCACATACTCTTCCTCTCCTGACAACTACGAATCTATTTTCTATTACTATGTATCAGTTTGCATATACTAGAGTTTACATTCAAGAATTAGATTAGTGTGTACTCTTTTTCTTTTTTGGTTGGGGACATCTGGCTTTCTCACTCAGCATATTTAGATATTTATCATACTGTGTGCACCAGTAGTGCCTTCCTTTTCATTGTTGGGTAGTATCTCACTGTGTGTTTATACCAGTTTGCTTACCCACTCATCTACTCAGAGGCATTTGTGCTGTTCCCAGTTTTTGGCTAACACAAGTAAAACTGCTGTGTACATTTGTGAACAAATATTTTGGTTCAAATGTTTAAAAATTTATCATGATTTGCTTTAATTTATTTTATGGCCCAGATTATGGTCATACCTGGTAAATATTCTGTATACTATCGAAATTAAGAAGGGCTAGCAATGTGGTCTAACAGGTAAAGCCACCGCCTGCAGTGCCGGCATCTCATAGGAGCACCAGTTCGAGTCTTGGATGCTCCACTTCTGATTCAGCTCTCTACTATGGCCTGGGAAAGCCGTAGAAGATGGCCCAAGACCTTGGGCCCCTGCACCAGCATGGAAAACCCAGAAGAAGCTCCAGGCTCCTGGCTTCGGACTGGTGTGGCTCCAGCCGCTGCGATCATTTGGGGAGTGAACCAGGGGATGGAATCTCTACTTCTCTGACTCTGCCTCTCTGTAACTCTGCCTTTCAAATAAAATAAGTAAATCTTTAAAAAAAGAAATTAAGGAACATTCTGATGTGTTTGATCAAAGTGTTCTATTTTTTTAACTTTTATTTAATGAATATAAATTTCCAAAGTACAGCTTATAGATTACAATGGCTTCCCCCCCCATAACTTCCCTCCCACCCGCAACATTCCCCTCTCCCACTCCCTCTCCCATTCCATTCACATCAAGATTCATTTTCAATTATTTTTAATACAGAAGATCGATTTAGTATATATTAAGTAAAGATTTCAACAATTTGCACCCACACAAAAACACAAAGTGTAAAATACTGTTTGAGTACTAGCTATAGCATTAATTCACAATGTACAACACATTAAGGACACAGAGATCCTACATGAGGAGTAAGTGCACAGTGACTCCTGTTGTTGACTTAACAAATTGACACTCTTGTTTATGGCGTCAGTAATCACCCTAGGCTCTTGTCATGAGCTGCCAAGGCTATGGAAGCTTTTTGAGTTCGCCGACTCTGATCTTATTTAGACAAGGTCATAGTCAAAGTGGAAGTTCTCTCCTCCCTTCAGAGAAAGGTACCTCTTTCGATCAAAGTGTTGTAAAAATGGCAACTGCATCAAGTTGGTTATTCAGGTCTACTATTTATCTTATGTGTTTTGTGATTTTTTTCTACCAATTATTGAGAGAAGCATACCAAAATCTTTGATTACATTGTTTTTCTGTCTGTAGTTTTAAAAAATTTTATTTATCTTCATTTTATTTGAAAAAGTGACAGAGAGCAAGAGAGACAAAAATCTTCCATCTGTTAGTTCACTCCCAAATGCCTTCAACAACCAGGACTGGGCTTGGCTAAATTCAGGAATATGGAATGCAATCCAGTTCTACAGGATTGCAGGGATTCAGTACTTGTGCTGTCATCTAATTCCCTTCAGTGAGCATATTAGCAGGAAGCTAGATCTGAAGCAGAGAAGTTGGGACTAAAACCAAGCAGTTCAATATGGGACGTATATGGGATATGCCCCAAGAGGAAACTTAACCACTGTGCCACATGCACTCCCAAGTCTCACTACAGTCTTGTAAGATTTCATTTCACATATTTTAAATCTCTATAATAATAAATATGAATATTAAAGATTTTAGAGCACCTTGATTATTTGAATCCTACCTAAATATAAGGGTACTTCAAAAAAGTACCCTTTGATCTATATAATATTGTTGTATTTTTCTTTCCTTATTCTATGTTGGTCCAACTACTTGAATCTAAGAAGAAAACCTTAATTAAAAATCCTTTGTTTACTTCTAAATCATATTTTTAACCTTACTATCCTTGGCTAAACTCACAAAAGCTTTCCAGTTTCCTCATGGCTATCTTCAGTTCTTTGTTTCACAGCATGTAAAGGATTGCCTAGAGAGGGGCAACGATGCTATAAATATAGCAAGAAATCTATGCTCAGAATAGTTGCTTACAGGGCATGTATAAGTAAAGATGAATGGGTAAAGGAAGATGTGAGTAAACCATGATGTGAGTAAAGCTGGACTGGAATTTTTTAAAGATGCATTTAATTTATTTGAAAGCAGAGTGACAAAGAGACAGGGAGAGAGACAGAGAGAGAGATTCAGAGAAAAAGGTTTTCCATCTGCTGGTTCACTCCTCTAATGCCTGCAACATTCAGGCTGGGTGAGTTTAAAGCCGGGAACTCCATCTGGGTCTTACAACATCGGTTGCAGGATCCCAAGCACTTGGGTCATCTTCCTTTGCATTCCCAGGCACATTAGCAAGGAGGCAGGTTGGAAGCAGGGCAACTGGGACTCAAACTGGTGCTCTGATGTGGGATTCAGGTATTGCAGGAAACAGCTTAACCTGCTGAGCCATAGTGCTGGCCCCTGGAAAGAACTTTTACTGCTAAGAATAAGTGGTTCCTAATGGTTAAGAAGATCAGACTGTAGGAGGCAAGCAACATGACAAATCTATTCAGATCATGGTGCTGCTGACAATACTATCTGTATATTACAGGTATCTATGGAAGCACATTTAGCAACCAGAGGGAGACCACAGAAAATGCTATTTATTATGTTGAGAACAAAGAAATGCAACTTCACATCAAAGGGTGTCAGGAGTGAAGGAGACCGATGAACTGTGAGTTAACTACTAGCAAAACATGCACCCTCTTGTAGATGATGGATATATAGTGTGTAGGTTTGCAAATGACCAGCTACATGTTGTGTAGATTATGAATACCACTGAAACCCTATCCAGGAGATAAAGGAGTTATATATGAGTAAATCCAGCAGAGGAGGTAATGTTTTTCTTCTTCATCCTCTGCCTCTTCCTCCTCTTCTTCTTCTTCATCTTCTTTTACCATATTCACAATCATCTTAGGGGTTACAAAGGAAGCAAGGGTCATATCCATGATGGAGAGAATCTCAAGGTGAAAGTACATGGGGTGCTTGGGTTTGGAGTATAAAACACTGTGAAAGGGATCACATAAATAAGACCAAGTGCCTGGTAATAACAATAGATAGCATTACAAAGGGAGGAAGTTCTAACATGGGAAGAAGTCCACACAGCAGACTCATAGAATGACAAACATCCTAAACAGCACTCTGACCTCAGAATCATCCCCTAAGGTCTAACTGAAAATACCATGAGAGCATTTCAGGCATGCAAAGCCAAGACATAGTGGCAAAAACGGTTCTGCATGAAGGATCTCTGTGAGTGAGACCCCAGTGGAAAGAAGGGGCCATCAAAGAAGGATGTACATAAGGAAGACATAATTTCTAAGCTTTTGACCTCAAATCCAGGATTAAAATGAATGAACTATCCATATCTCTTGGTTCTCCTAGGAAAATCATGAGAAAAGAAGCACATGTTTCATTTTCATGGGTCAAAAGAGATACAAGCATGCATCTTTATGAGGTTGTGCTTATATGGACATGAGATGTCTTAGATGGAATTCCTTTGAAGACAGTTCAATTATTTTTGAAAAAATATTTATTTATTTATTTGAAAGACATAGTTCTGGAGGGGAGAGATAAATTGTCAATCCATTTGTTTCATTCCCCAGCTATTCACAACAGTCATGGCTGGGCCAGGCTAAAGCCAGGAATATGGAATTCCATCCAGGTTTCCCACGTGGTTGAAAGGGCCCATGTACTTGGGTAATCTTCTGCTGCTTTCCCAAGCACATTAGCAGGAATCTGGATCGGAATTGGAGCAGCTGGGGCACAAATCCTCACTTGGAAGCTGCTGTTGCAGACAGTGGCTTAACCTTCAGTGTGTCCCACAATGCTGATCCCTTAAAGTTCAAGTTTTTAGTGTACCTGGAAATAAAACTACCTTAAGAAATTCTGCTTTACTTCTGATTTAGCCCAGAGTTTTAAGGGGCTGTGATCCAAAAGATTAAAAGGTAATTTTGGTAATTGAGTAATTGAGGTTGAGAATAAACAAGAATTTTATCTTCTCCCTTTTGAGCTTCCATCAGATAATAAACGGGTTTCTGCTATTTTCATACTTTTGAAAAGCCTTCTGGCAGATGGAGTATCCCTTACCTGCTGTGGCCAAAACAAACATTCTTAGAAGTTCTTGTAAAGTCCACACAACGCAAAGGCATTAAGCAGCAGGGATGGATGTTCTCAGTCTCAGTATCTCTGTTCCATTTGACCAGGAATCATATATTCCAAAGGGAATAAAGAAGATGCTATGAGCACAAGAGACATTTCTTATGATATCTAAATGTTTTGCTTCCTTCTTTTATCTGTCATGTCACATCCCATCTGTTATTTATAAAGTTGTATACTTTAGTAAACTAAGTTTTGTAATTTGTACATTGGACACGGTTTCCCTAGGCTTCTATTCACTTTTATGCATAGCAACACTTATTTGGTGATGTAACATGAATTTAAGTTTTCTCAACATTTTTTCAGGCTTTATATTTCATTTATTTGTAGTGCTGAACACTGTCCAATTATCTGGACATTATCACAGTTTATTCATTCATTCATCTACTGATGAACATGTTGGTTGTTTCTGAGTTTTGGAAATGATAAAGTTGTCATAAATGTCTTTTATCAGATTACTAGGCAGTTATAATTGTTTAATTCTTTTTGTTAAATACCAAGTATCAAAACAGCTGAAACCTAAGATATCAGTTTTTTTTTTTTCCAGAAATACCTTTCAAGATGATGCCATTATTTTGCACTCCCACTGGTAATGAGTGAAATTTCTTCTTGCTCTATTCTCTTGTCAGCATTTGGTATTATCAGTGTTATAGCTTTTGGCCATTTCAAATTTGTGCGTATGGTATCTTGTTGCTGTTCTGATGTGTATTTCTGTAGTGACACAAGATTCAATATATAGTTTCTTTCTTTTATATATTGTGTGTTTGGTGTCATTTCTAAAAAGTTACCACACACTCAAGGCTACTTAAATTTCTAATATTTTCTATGAGTTCTGTATTTGGGTTTGTGATTTGTTTTGAGTTAATTTTTGTGAAGGATTTTAGGTCTGTGTCTAGAATTATTTTTTTTGTGTGTGTATGTGGATGTTTAGTTTTGCCAGCAAACTTTGTTTTAGAGACTCTTTTTCACCCATTGTGTTTCCTTTGGTACTTTGTCAAAGATCAGTTAACCACATTTATGTCTATTTATTGGCTTGAGTCTGTCTATTTGCCTATGTATCTGGTATTTTTCCAGTGTAACATGTCTTGATATCTTAATATTGTTATAAGACTTGAAATCCAGTAGTATTAGAATACACATTCTTCTCATCAGTGAATTGAACATTCTCTATGATAGACTATATGCTAGGACAAAAAGCAAGTCTTAGCAAATTCCAAAAAATCTAAATCATTCCATGCATCTTCTCTGACCACAATGGAATAAAGCTAGAAATCAACAACTCAAGAATCTCTAGAACATAGATAAACACATGGAGACTAAACAACATACTTCTGAGTGAACAGTGGGTCATAGTAGAAATCAAAAGAGCGATCAAAAAATTTCAGGAAACAAATGAAGATGACCACACATCATATCAAGTACTACTGGATACAGCAAAAACAGTGTTAAGAGGGGAGTTCTTAGCAATCAGTGCCTACTTGAAGAAACTGGAAAGGTAGCAAATAAATGAACTATCATTGCATCTCAAGGACCTAGAACATCAATAACAAACCAAACCCAAAACTAGTAGGAGGAAAGAAATAACTAAAATTAGAGAAGAAATAAAACTGAAACAAAAATACAAAAAATCAGTGAAATTAAAAGCTGTTTAGCTGTATGCCAGCAAACTAGGAAACCTAGAAGAAATGAATAGATCCCTAGAAAGATGCAATCTACAAGAATTGAGTCATGAAGATATAGAAAAACCTAAACAGACCAATAACTAAGATGTATATTAAATCAGTAATAAAGATGCTCCCAACAAAAAAAAAGTCCAGGATCGGATGGCTTCACTGCTGAATTCTACAAGATATTTAAAGAAGAACTAATTCTAATTCTTCTCAAGATATTCAAAAGAATTGAAAAGGAAGCAATCCTCCCAAATGTAAACCTGGAAAAGATGCAACTGAGAAAGAGAACTATAGATCAATATCCCTGAAGAACATAAATGCAAAAATCCTCAACAAAATATTAACTAATTGAATCCAACAACACATCAGAAAAATCATTCACCCTGACTAAGTGGAATTTATCCCCAGAATGAAAAGATGGTTCAACATTCACAAATCTATCAATATAATACAGTGTATTGGCAAACTGAAGAACAAAAATCATATGATAATCTCAACAGATGTGGAAAAAGCATTTGATAAATTACAATGTCCTTTCACGAAGAAACCCTTAAGGAAAACGGGTGTAGAAGAAACATTCCTCAATACAATCAAAGCAATTTATGACAAATCTATGACAAGCATCCCACTGAATGGAGAAAAGCTGGCAGCATTCCCCCTAAGACCAGAAGCAGACAAGGATGCCCATTCTCACTATTGCTATTTAATATAGCCCAGGAAGTTTTAGCTAAAGCCATTGGGCAAGAAAAATAAATCAAAGAGGTACAAATTAGATAAGAGGAAGTCAAAGTATCCTTATTTGCATATGACTTGATCCTTTACATAGGGGATGGAAAAAACTCCACTGAGAGACTATTGAAACTTATAAAAAGACTATGGTAAAGTGGCAGGACATAAAACCAACACAGAAAAATCAACAGCCTGTGCATACACAGACAATGCCATAGCTGAGAAAGAACTTGTAAGATCAGTACCACTCACAATAGCTCCAAAAAGAATCAAATACCTTGGAATAAATTTAACCAAGAATGTCAAAGATCTTTACAGTGAAAATTACAAAACTCTAAAGAAAGAAATGGAAGAATACATTAAAAATGGAAAAATCTTCCAATTTCATGGATAGGAAGAATCAAATCAACATCATCAAAATGTCCATACTACTAAAAGCAATTTATAAACTCAGTGCAATCTCAATCTAAATACCAACAACATTCTTCACAGATCTATAGAAAACTATGCTGAAATTCATATGGACACACAAGAGATCTTCCAAAGCTAAAGCAATCTTATACAACAACAACAACAACAGCTAGAGACATCAGAATACCTGATTTCAAGACATACCACTGGACAGCTACAATCAAAATAGCCTGGTACTGGCCCCAAAACAGACTTATAGACCAATGGAAAATAATAGAAACTCAGAAAACAATCCATGCATCTATAGCCAACATATTTAATAAAAGAGCTGAAATCAATCCGTGGAGCAAAGAGAGTCTCTTTTAACAAATGGTGCTGGAAAAACTGAATCTCATGTGCAGAAGTATGAAACTAGATCCCTACCTTATACCTTAAACAAAATTCCACTCAAAATGGGTCGAGGACCTAATACCATCAAAGTATTAGACAGCATGGGGGAAATTCTATAAGATGTTGGCATAGGCAAAGACTTCTTGGAAAAGACCCCAGAAGCACAGGAATCAGAGCCAAAATTGAAAATGGGATTACATCAAGCTGAGAAGCTTCTGTACTGCAAAAGAAACACTCAGCAAAATGAAGAGGCAACTGACCGAATGGGAGAAAATATTTGCAAACTGCAAACTGTTAATGGATTAGCATCCAGAATATATAAAGAGCTCAAGAAATTCAATAACAACAAAACAAACAATCCAGTAAAGAAATGGGTGAACGAGTTAATCAGGGATTTTTCAAGGGGAAATTCAAATGACCAACAAACACTTATGAAAATGCACAGAAATGAATTTCCAAACATACAATAATAATAATTTACAAAAATTTTAGACCTTGAGACAGAGATAATTAAATTAAATACAAATAGGTCTTACTTTATGTTCTTTAACCTTATTAAGTTAGTGAAATCCAAACAAGAATAGTCTCCATTGCTATTCCCTATATACTTTATTACTTATTTCATCTACTTTTCATTTTTCCCTTGTTTTTTTCCCATTAGTGGGGGGAACCTAGGAGGCTAGGTTAAGAAAATAATAACAGAATTTGTTTCAAAGATTTATTTTATTTATTTGAAAGGCAGAGTGACAAAGAGAAAGGAGGAGGGATAGACCTTCCTTCTGCTGGTTCACTTTCCAAATGGCCAAAGTGGTCAGGGATGGGGGGCAGGCCAAAAGCAGGAGCCAGGAGCTTCCTCCAGGTCTCCCATGTGGGCGCAGTGGCCCAAGCACTTGGGCCATCTCCCACTGCCTTCCTAGGCACATTATCTTGGAGCTATATCAAAAGTGGAGCAACTGGGGCTTGAACCAGTGCCCATATGGGATGCTGGTGCTGCAGGCACCTGCTTAACCTGCTTTGCCAAGCACTGCCCCCCAGAAATATTCATTGATAAGATTCAAAAGAAAACTTTGAAGGTGGTGCCAATGCTCAAAAATTCACTTTTCCAAGTGAACTTGAGAGAAAATTTAAGGAAACTGATTAAGATGCTTTCAATGAGATGGTTGTATATCTTTGTTAGATCTCATTTAATATAGAATAAGACATAGAAAGGCTGATTGGAATACTCCCAAATAATGAAGAATTATTAGGTTTCTGGACACTTATTATTTGCCTAGGAATACATGGAGTAGCTCCTGAATCTTTTCATAGCATTTCTCATCTCTTTGTTTCTCAGAGTATAAATAATTGGATTTAGGAGAGGTGTAAACACAGAGTAAAACACAGCAAGAAACTTGTCAATCCAGGTGATGCTGAGTGGCCACACATAGAGGAAGATGCAGGGCCCAAAGAAGAGCACCACCACTGTGATGTGGGCAGTGCAGGTAGAGAGGGCCTTGGATGCTCCAGCTTTAGAACTTTTGCAGACAGTGAGAAGAATATATGTGTAGGATATCAACAAAAGGATAAAGGAAGTTATAGCCACAAACCCACAGTTAACATTCAGGAAAATTTCCAAATTATGGTGATCCATGCAGGCAAGCTTGATCACCAATGGTCTGTCACAGAAGAAGCTGTCTATTTCCCTAGGACCACAGAAGGGCAGCTGCACAATAAACACAATTTGACTCAGAGCGTGCACAAAGCCAATGGTCCAAGCAGTCACTACCAGCCCAGTGCACTTTTGTAGGCTCATAATAGTAGTGTAATGGAGTGGTTTGCAGATGGCAACGTAGCGATCAAAGGCCATTACTACTAAAAGCACCATCTCAAGTGCAGCAATACATTGAGCAAAGAAGATCTGGCACATGCATCCTCCAAAGGAAATTGTTTTGTTCTTCCTCAGAAAGTCTGTAATCATTTTAGGAGTGGTGTTTGAAGAAAGCCACATGTCAACAAAGGACAGGTTGGCCAAAAAGAAGTACATAGGAGAGTGGAGATGGGGATCAGTGATGATTAAAATCACAATAACAATATTTCCAGATACAATGATGAGGTAAAGTGTAGAAAATATTAAGAGTAAGACCTGAATATTCCAGGCATGGAAGAGTCCCAGAAGCACAAAATCTGACACTGTGGACTGATTTCCATAATCCATTTTATTCAGGATGTCCTCTAAACCTAGATTTGACAGATTATCAGTTAGTGAGAAGAAAAATGGGATTTATTTATGTGGTGTTCACATTGAAGTTTAGCATCTATTTAGAGATTGTAAAGCATAATTGTGAAGAGAAATTTTGGAGAAATGGAAACTACATGTCTATTATTGATTCTACAGGAAGCAGAGCCTGAGATGAGATTATATTGTACACTTTATAAAAGGGGAATGAGGAAATCAGGTCTGCAAAGAGTATGGTTTAAGGACAGTGGTGTCCTGTAAATTAGCTTCAGTCCACTAGTGCTGGGAATCCGGGTGGGGCACTAACAGTAGCCAGTGTACTAAGTAACTCTAATTAGGTCATATACAGTAGCCTCACTGATTTACTATCATGCTTTCCTACGTATCACATACCTGCATTGAACTGTAGTATGAAAATATTACTATTTGTCTTGACTCTTTTGGGAAGGTTCACATTCATGTAACTTTTTTATAATATATCATTATAGTTTTATTTTTATTAATCGTTATTGCTAATATCTTACTGTGCCTTATTTTTTATGGGATATTATCATAGGCATGTATAGAACAAAATAGCATGTATTTGTTCCAGGCACTGACAGGAGATCCTCAATCTATCCCTACAGATAAGGGGGGGCACTACTGTACTTGGGAGTTGAGGGGATATTTTAATGCAGTACCAATGATGTAACACAACCCTACCATTTCTCTGTACTGTGTATAGGCCTTCTTCAATTCTCAGTTGCTCTCCTTCTATAAGGTACTTACTATAAAATTAAATTTTTGGCTTACTCTCTCCTAATATGTACATATATATAATTCTACCACTATGCAATATGCTATTCTATATATACTACTACTACTATATACTATTATATATACATATATTATGCTATATATATTTTAGGAGAACTTTCAGGAGAGAACCTATATAGAGGATCATATAATATATTCTTGGCATAATGATTTATGGCATACAATTTACCATTAATTAAAATTTATAATACAGCAGAATTGATCTGAAGTAAATTGATTAGAAAATAATATCACAGTAGTGTCATGCAGAAACAGATTAAGCAAATTGAAAGGAAATGAGGTTCTGATTGATGAACTCTGAATGTAAGCTCCTCATAACTCAGGATTATCACTAAGCAAGGTTTATTTTCAATTATATAAATGGATGCTAGGAAATATCTAGACTCTGAAATATAAATATTATCCTGTTCAATAAGACAAAATTCTGTCTGTTCAGTCTGTTACCTATCTATGCATCTTTCATCTACCTATGTTTTCTATGTTAGGAATAAATTACATCCATGTGCAAACAGCATTCCTCTTTTGAGTGTTAATGTCGAGTGGATCTGAGGGTAAACCTATAATGATTATTAATGATTATCTTTAAGTATTAAATACTAATGATATTGTTTACTTTGATCTCTCTTTAAGCTGAACATAATTCTCTAAATAGATACTGTAAAAAAAAGAAAAGGTTCAGTGTTCCTTCCCTTTTATTATTTTTCTCCTTTGGCATTATTTCTGTTTTTATGTGTCTCATTTTCTTTTATACTTTGGTATCTCTAGGGTGTTTCTCAGGTCCACAGGTGAACAATGAAAACTATTACCCACTCATGATCATGACTTTCCCTCCCTTACTTTAAAAACTCAGAAATTGATTAAGACCAACATGAGAGCAAATTCTCCTAAAGAAATTAGTTGATACACATATTTGTTACAGAAAAGGACAGAGGTCACAGATAAGAGTCTCACAACTTACAAATAAACATATCTTTCACAACAATAGAAGAATTTTCTCTCATTTCTAAAGAAAATATCCTGATACTACTCACAGTATATTCATATTTTTATTTCTCAGAGTGTAAGTGGTTGTATTTAAAACCGAGCAAGAATTCTGTCCACCCAAGTGATTCTGAGTGGCTGTAGAAGTGATGATGCAGGACGCAAAGAAGAGCACCACCACTGTGATGTGGGCAGCATATACATTGTATCCCAGATGTGGTAGTTTGGGAAACTTGAGCAACCTGATATTTTTCTTAAAACACTTTTTCTTATCAATATAAATGTTTCAGAAGGTTTCACTAGCTAATTCTGTATATGTTGAATAAGTAACAGAGAAGATAACTAGGAGCAAAACCAGGACTCCAACTGTGTTTGAGATGAATTTGCTAAATTATGAATTCATAAGTTCATAGGGAAAAATTCTCCAATGAGAAATAGTGTTTTTATCAGCTTTGTATTTGTTAATTTTTCATATTAGCAAATTATATAAGGGAACTTCAAATGGAATTAAAGTGTTTATTTCAGTGCAAAAATTTTTAAATGCACACATATTTTCTTAATAACATGCCTTTTTCCATGAATGTTTTTGAATTCTCCAATTAATTCTTAATATTAACCAATATTTAGGAGAATTAATAATCATTTTTTTTTTATTTCAAATGTAGGCTGAAAACTTATTCCATTAGTGGCTGACCTTGTTTCCTCAGCTAACCCTATTTCTGTCTGTATTCCCTCATTTGTAAAATAGTACATTCAAATTAACAAAAGTGAGGGTCAATCAGAACAGATAAAAATCATTAGAATTCAGTGGATCATAATATTATTTATCTTCTGTATTGTGATTGATTTTAAATGAGAATACTTTCCAATGCTTATTGGAAACAATATTGTACATCTGAATACTTTTGTCTCAAAATACTTATAATAACATTTCTTTAAAATACTTACTAGGCAAATTTCTCTAAATTAACATATACATACTCAGTGATCCTATAAGATGTACAATCCAAGTAGCAGGTCATACATTTTGCTTGCTTTCCAGGAACTCAATGACTTTTCAACCTTTCTTATGTTCTTCTTAGGAGAAGTTATTAATATTTTAAGGGACCCTACTAGAGGCAAAAGGGCATTTTATTAAAGAATCTTTGTAAATCCCACTTGTAGCACAAAAATTTTAAGAGTATGAAAACATGAGACAAATTTTTCATCCCTTTTGCATGCAATGTCCTTCCGTATATATTCGCTCCTTTAATAACATTAAAACTGTGTGAGATCTTCCATATTTGTATTTTTATAAAGAGAAACATGTACTCATGGAATTTAAGAGATTTTCAGAGATATCTACTCTGTGAGGTAAGTAGGGAGAAAGTGCCCAGTCACTAATGTTGCCTTCTTTTATTCTGATATATCCCTCAGGCATGTATTTCTATGGTGACCTAGAAAGGCATTTTCTTCCCTCAAAGACACACAGAATACAAAACAGGTTTTTAGCAAAATATAACACATAGTAAAAACCCAGGATTAGTAAGACGACCTGTATTTCACTGCCTATTACAATGATCTTTCTTAAGCTTATATTCTTCAAATTCAAAGTGGAGAGAATAATAGAGTAGAAACTCTGTTAGTGGACTTCCGTTTACTCAACTCACTCAGTTAGTAACTGATCTCCATTTTTTTCTGTAAAATACACTGAATGATGATCAAAAATAATTTTTGTGACTATATTTGGCATTGTAATAATTTAAATTTAAAAAATTGAAATATCATGTAAATAGTTTTCTGTATCAATTATTTTATTTTCACCCTTTTTATTTCTAGGTCTATAATATATTTTATCTTACTTGCAATGCTGTCATGATGTGAAGAAATTATTGTCTTAAAGGTCTTGAATGAGAGGGATCATTTAAACAGGGATCACTGGAAGCTGCTTATATTTAGGTAGCCATCAAAAGACTTGGCAGCTCCTCAGGCAAACCTAGAGAATCTCAGAGGCAATGCAATTTGGTGGTGATTGGCCCAGTGTTGGAGACCACAGAAATTGCAGGAAATAGGACAGGAAGAGAAGACCTCAGAATTGTTTCCTGAAAATGCCAAGGACTTTTCAACAATTCATTCTCAAGTCTAAGAATAGTGGACATGTTTGAAACAGATCCATAGAAATATTTTCAGAATCATCTTAAAGAAGATATCAGAGAGGTGATATGACTTACTAAACACGGAGTTTCTCTAAGATCAGATTTTCCTTTAGTCTTGTCTTGTGATAGGTGTTCCAGACAAGTCCCTTGTTGGGTGGGGACAATCTTTGTGGAACTGTTTTCCTGCAGCCTGACATATATTCAGCATGTGAAGTAATCCCTTGGGTGAAATTACCCAACAGAACTGAAAAGAAATTATTGAACAGAACAAAGATCATAGTAATAATTATCTTGGACATCTCTTTGGGATTTCTTTGTTGTTAATAATAATTCCGGGGATTGTGCTGTGGTGTAGCAAGTAAAACTGCCGCCTGCAACGCCGGCATCCCATGTGGGCACTGGTTCAAGTCCTGGTTGCTCCATTTCTGATCCAGCTCTCTGCTACGGCCTGGGAAAGCTGTGGAAGATGGCCCAAGTCCTTAGGTCTCTGCACCTTCTTGGGGGACCCGGAAGAAGCTCCTGGCTCCTTGCTTCGGATTGGTGCAGCTCTGGCCATTGCAGCCTACTGAGGAGTGAACCAGCAAATGGAAGACCTCTCTCTGTAACTCTGCCTCTCCTTCCCTCTATGTGTAACTCATTCAAATAAAATAAATAAATATTTAAATAATTCCAACCATTGCATCTTCTGGAAATCAGAATAGGAAGAGAAGAAAACCTCACATAAATCAACCAGCATTAAGCATTAGTGGTTTTGAAAAAATATTCTTATGATAAGTACTAAGGATATATCTTCTACAATGTTGATGTGTTACCTTATCTTGAGTTACATAATGAAATACAATTAATATTTTACTTTCAGTTATAAAAGAAACTGTGTCCTAATAGTGATGCAAAACCACCAACGAACCTAAGTGTTATTGGCTCAGTGTCTTAAAGTATGTTATGGTTGTCGAAGTAGGCAGAAAATCTTGATTAGCTTACTGATATGTTAATAAATATATATTACTAATATATATTTAGATGTTTTGATCAGAACATTGAAGCTTGTTTATAATTACTGTATTTTGATTTTATTGTGGCAGAACTTATATGCAATAAACTTCATTGTCCCATCTGACTAGTTTTGACCTGTGTGTTCAGCCTTGAAAAGACTGTCATAGTCAAGGCAGTGAACACATGCTTCAGTTTCTAAGTGTACTTTTCCCTTGATAATCACTCTTTCACGTATCTACCCTTCCACGACAACCGCCAATCTTTTGTATCACTTTTCAGTAGTTAGATTTTATAGCATTTTTTAAATAAACAAAATCAATCATATGTACATTTATGGCCTGGTTCCTGGTCACACAAGCATACTTTCATATTTATGACTCTGTGTTATGTGTATCAATGGTGTCACCATGCCCACACACATGCACAACCTTTCTAATATTAATATCATTCACCACAGTGGGAAAAATGTCTTACCCTGACATATAATTACCACAATATAGTTTTCACAAGGGTTCATTTCCTGGTGTTGTATCTTCTACGAGTTTGAACAATTATATAATCATGTGATATGATTTAAGTTTTTGGCGTTGATACGTGCCTGTCTTCGGTGCCCCGTGGCACATACTCTGCTCTGCTTGCTGGAGTTGCCCACAGGTGCTTACAAGCCCTACCAGTCAGGCAAACCGGATCCGGGTCCTCTCTTCACCATGTTGTGAGGAGGTTTTTAGGCGCTGATGCGTGCCTGTGTTTGGTGCCCTGCAGCGCATGCTCTGCTCTGCTAGAACTGCCTGCAGGTGCTTACAAGCCCTACCAATCAGGCAAACCGAATCCAAGCCTTCTCATTGCCGTATTGTGGGGAGACTTATTGATGTTAATTCATGCCTGTCTTCGGTGACCTGCGGCGCATAAGCTGCTAGCCACCCGCAGGTGCTCACCACCTCCCTAATCAGGCAGACCGAATCCAAGCTCTCTCATTGCCATGTTGAGGGGAGGCCTTATTTTTCTCTATTTCTCTATCTCCGGGCATTCCTATCTCTCCCATTTTACTTCTATCTGCCAGCATTCCTATTTCTCTCATTTTACTTCTAAATTTCTGTTTCTCTTATCCCCGCAGCTTCCCGGCCCCCGCCCTGAGGCTGCTTCTCGGTGGCTTCCCGGCTCTGAGCCGCTTCAGCCGGCGCTTCTCTCATCTGCGCGGCTTCCCCGGCTTCGCGCGCGCACTCCGCGGTCTCCGCGCCCCTTCGCGCACACACCACGGCCTCACACTAGCCCCACGTTCCCTATCTATTCACGCCCCGTGCTCTCTCTGCACGCGGCGGCTTCCGCGAATCACACAGCGTAGCTTACGTTTCCGCCACCGGTATTCAATCTAAGTTCCCCGGGCTAACCTGGCGAATTCAACCTATAGCTTACGTTTCCGCCTTATGGTTTGGCTTCCCGTCTTTTGCTCCCCGGGCTAATCTGACGGATTCCAACCTGGCCCATGTTTCCGCCTCTGGTTTAACTTTTCGCCTTTTGCTCCCCGGGCTGACTTAAAGAATTCCAAGCTGGCTTACGTCTCCGCCTCGGCCAGCCCCCGCAGCTTCAATTTCCCTAACATTTTTCTCTACCCGGTATGTTTCCCTAAGTTTTCTTCCAACAATATTCCTCCCTCATTTCTCCTGGCTTCTCCCCACAGTCTGTATCCGAGTCTGTTTGTTCTAGCTTTCACTTTCGCTTTCGACCTTAGAGATTTCTCCCAGCCTCCCCCCGTAGTCCGTATCCGAGTCTATGCCTAGGCTTTTGATAGCTTCTTCCGGCACCTTTTTCGTCCGGCTTTTCCCTAGGCTCTTTGCTAGTCTCTCTCTCTGGTATTTTCCCACTTCTTCCCGTTTCTTCCCTCCTAGGTTTCCTATCCGAGTCACGGCACCATTATGTCGCTCCCCCTCTTCGTGGAGGAACGACACAGGACCCTGCGCTGTTCTTTTGTCTGCTCGGCCCTTCCCGGGTTTGCTGCTGGTTCTTCCCAGGTTGGCTACCGTCCCTTCCACCTCCGTGGAAGGGCGGTTCCCCCTAGCCACTTTCCCCACTTCCTCGGGGGAGCAGCACACCGCCGGCCGGCTCTCTCGGGGGCTGCACAGGTGTTCCTTCAGATAGATGTTCCCCTTAGATGTTCCTGGTGCATGTTGTCTCTCTCCTCCTTTATAGTCCTCTTCCACGAATCCCAACTCTGCTACCCACATGCCGAGTATGCTGCTCTCCTCCAATCAGGAGCAGCTCCTGCAGCTTGTCAAGTTGGTGAAAGGCAGCTGGGTAGAAGCTGTTT